TCTAATGAATTACCCTGGTTTCGTCTAGATGTAAAGTGGCATATATACGAGTATACATACACCTAAATAATAAAACTGATTTTTGTTGTATTCTGATTGATAAATCGCTCTCGCCTCTCGCGCTATTTAGGTTATATCAATGTTTATCTATAATTTTTCGCGGTAAACCGTATTGTCTTTTGTTTAACTCTTATAAGCCGTCGGCATTGCAATTTGTACATCGTTTATATATGTATTTTTTATCATTCCCTTTTAAAAGTACAATATTGTGTAAAATAGTATATATTTTACCTTAATGTTCTTAAAGATACGCGATGCCATATCTTTATCACTAGACAACATAGATCTTTTACTAACATAACGGATCAGAAAGGATTGGCCCTAGAATTTATGAACTGTACATATAATATTATATTTATGTACTTATAAGTATTTTAAAGTTATAACTTTAAAATACCACCAAGGAAAAAGTACTGAACGGATTTTGATGAAACTTTACATCAGAGCTTATACATCAGATTAACACATATACCATAATGTACCTATAAAGTTATAGTAATATATAATATTTAAACTTTATATTAAAAATATTATAATTTTAATATTTAAAATATTTACAAACTAGTGAGTTAATCTCGAGTCGCTCAGAGCCATGCCTAAGTGCTTAATGGTCATACTCTATATGTGTATTAAAACTCATACAAATTTTCATGTTTAAAATACTAGCTCGATAGTTAAAATATCTGATAAGTAAAGCTTTTCTGGTATATTTACTTTACTCACCACGAAAATATAACTTAATTGAATACAAAATTTTTGCTTGCCTTTAATTAAATAACAATGTTTTCCATTTCTCAGCGTCGCTGAATCTTAGCGTGTAATTTTCATTAAGCCATATTTGAATAATTTTTCATGAAAAATAATGATAAGCGTTATTTTTACTCCATTAATTTTATTCTGTGTTTTCATTCGTTTTCATATTTTTGATGAAATTCAAATTTCTATGCCTTTTATTGTATTCAGCCCTTTTTACAGGCCTCCTTTAAAACAAGATGGATCATACCATAGTCATAGCAATATGGTAATCATGTTGGAAATGATTCCCACATGAAAATATTAGAGGTGCGACCCGTAGATTGAACCCGTTTCACTTGCCTTCCTTATTACCGTTTCTTAGTTTTTTAATATAAAATTAAATCACTTTAAACTTCATACTCGTATATCGTTTAAAGCCATAGATTAATATATGTAGTGTTATAAACGTAATAAAGTATTTTTACTATATACCAACTATCTCTTATGTACCTGGGCCACCGAGCTTCGCTCTGAGTTTTTGGTCGAAGTAGTAAAGTAATTCCAGAGATTACTTCCTACAAACAAACTCACAAACGTACAAACTTTACCTCTAGTATAATTAATTAAAATCACAATATACCTATTACATATATAGTAAGACAAAATTATTTAGAAAAAAAAACAATTTCTTTAATACACTATGTAAAGTAAATTATATTATGAGGAAAAGTGCAATACTTCGTCACGCGATCTCTAATGGCGTAATAAAGTTAGCAGAAAGAAAACTTTGTATCACAGAGGGCTCTTTTGCGTATTATTAAGGCGACCAGCAATGTAGAGCTCTCATCTCCTCGAGTTTAAATTTTGAAACTTAAAATATGGATTGCATATACTAATTATTAATAGGTTAATTATATTATTAGGGTTTATTATTAATATTAGCATTTTTTTTACGATGAAAAAAACTTGTGTGTGTACTTATGTACGTACGTAAGAAGTTATACTTTTTTGGCGTAACAGAACAAAAATAGCTAAAGATTTCATCCCGTATGTCAGAAGTCTGTTTGTAAAAGTAATGATTAATAAATAACAAAATTAAATAAGGCATATTAGGCATAATGCAATCATATATTAACAGAATATAATTTAAGGAAAAAATATAACAGACAATAACAATGGTTACCATATCAACAAACAGTTAACAGCTAACTTCATCATGTCGCTTTTTGGCTGTCGGTGTGCGTGCGCATCGTAAAAAGTTTTTTCTCATATTTTTTCCAAACGACCCAAAAGAAGTATAACTTCAAAAATTATAAATTTTGTGTGAAATAATTTTAAATATTATTTATTATAAATATACATATGTAAAATATATATTTTATAATAATTTGCTTACTCTTAGTATAAATTTTATATAAAGGAATTTTATTATTATTTTGTTACTGTTTTGCTGTTTGGTGTGAGAAAGACTGAGGTCTAGCGGTGTTGGTCGTATAGCAAAATCTGTTTGGGCATAAGTCGTCACGTGCACCCGCTGATGAGCCGTAGACGTGATATCACTCACTCGTACGTGACCCACGCTTTATTTCAAATTCTGCTACTAAACTTTAATGCGAGAGTAAAAACATTCGTATTCTTAATGTTTCTTATCCAGCGACTTTTCCTTGACGCTTATTTCTGCTTAAACGCTGCCTTTGTGTAAAATCTTTTTTCATACCAAATGGGTTTAGCTATTTTCATTTTTCTGTATTATTATGAATATCTGGAATACTGTAATAGTTTGCTCTTGGCTCAGTAGCTGGCTGCCTACATTTTTAATATAGGCTAAAATTTTCGGGCTTAATCTCCGAATGGGAACAAGAAAGAGTGCGTTTAATTATCCTCAGCGTAGTTATTAATAAGGCAAATTAATAATCTTGTACAAAAATTGTACCTTTAGAGAGTAATTATTGCATGATGAAATTGTAGACTTACGAGATTTTTTATTAGAAAATAAATTTGAAAAACGTTAAAAGCTATTATAAGATCAAAGTGTCTGAAATATAATCAACTAGCATTGCCTGCGGCTCCGTCCGCGTTCAGATGATCAAAAACCAAATTCTTAGGTTTTACATAGGTATTAGTATACTCTTTCCAACAATGCAGTTTTTGTATTTTTTCTCAGAACTGAGATATTTTCCCGCAGTACAAAGTATCCTATATGTTGATCCGGATAATCAGCTATCATCTTACCAAATTTTATCAAAATCCCTCCAGTGGTTTTTTCGTGATGCGGTAACAGACAGACAGACAGACAGACAGACAGACAGACAGACAGACAGACAGACAGACAGACAGACAGACAGACAGACAGACAGACAGACAGACAGACAGACAGACAGACAGACAGACAGACAGACAGACAGACAGACAGACAGACAGACAGACAGACAGAGGCAGGCAGGCAGGGCAGGCAGGCAGGCAGGCAGGCAGGCAGGCAGCAGGGCAGGCAGGCAGGCAGGCAGGCAGGCAGGCAGGCAGGCAGGCAGGCAGGCAGGCAGGCAGGCAGGCAGGCAGGCAGGCAGGCAGGCAGGCAGGCAGGCAGGCAGGCAGGCAGGCAGGCAGGCAGGCAGGCAGGCAGGCAGGCAGGCAGGCAGGCAGGCAGGCAGGCAGGCAGGCAGGCAGGCAGGCAGGCAGGCAGGCAGGCAGGCAGGCAGGCAGGCAGGCAGGCAGGCAGGCAGCAGGCAGGCAGGCAGGGGCAGGCAGGAGGCAGGCAGGCAGGCAGGCAGGCAGGCAGGCAGGCAGGCAGGCAGGCAGGCAGGCAGGCAGGCAGGCAGGCAGGCAGGCAGGCAGGCAGGCAGGCAGGCAGGCAGGCAGGCAGGCAGGCAGGCAGGCAGGCAGGCAGGCAGGCAGGCAGGCAGGCAGGCAGGCAGGCAGGCAGGCAGGCAGGCAGGCAGGCAGTCAGACAGACAGACAGACAGACAGACAGACAGACAGACAGACAGACAGACAGACAGACAGACAGACAGACAGACAGACAGACAGACAGACAGACAGACAGACAGACAGACAGACAGACAGAAAGACAGACAGACAGACAGACAGACAGACAGACAGACAGACAGACAGACAGACAGACAGACAGACAGACAGACAGACAGACAGACAGACAGACAGACAGACAGACAGACAGACAGACAGACAGACAGACAGACAGACAGACAGACAGACAGACAGACAGACAGACAGACAGACAGACAGACAGACAGACAGACAGACAGACAGACAGACAGACAGACAGACAGACAGACAGACAGACAGACAGACAGACAGACAGACAGACAGACAGACAGACAGACAGACAGACAGACAGACAGACAGACAGACAGACAGACAGACAGACAGACAGACAGACAGACAGACAGACAGACAGACAGACAGACAGACAGACAGACAGACAGACAGACAGACAGACAGACAGACAGACAGACAGACAGACAGACAGACAGACAGACAGACAGACAGACAGACAGACAGACAGACAGACAGACAGACAGACAGACAGACAGACAAAAATTCTAAAAACTAAAGATTCGGCCTCTGTATCGATAATAATGTTTATTTCAATAAGATTTTCCAAAAAATATTTAATGTACAGATTCGGCTTAGTTAGAATTTTATTATATGTATAGATATTGTTAATAATAAATATAGTAATCATTAGTTATTACTTGGGTTACAAAGAAAACGTAAACGAGGTCATCGCAATGACCTAAGAACTTAAATGGAGACCGGCAAAGTGACCTTTTCTTCGATTTAGGATCGAAGTTATAATATAAATAAGCAGCTCCAGAAAATGAGTAGGGTTCCAATAACCGAATATTACTTTACTTTCAGATTCAGGTTTAATCTTCAGGACAAAAAAGGAAATAGCTTGATGCGCAAATTTGTTCCGCATACTTTAACGTTTATCTTTCCAAATATATGTTTATTGTATATTATATTTTATTCAGTAGATTGTTTGATAAACAATGATAAATGGTTATTTTTTTTAATGAATTGAATGATATTACTCCTAGTTAAATTGCTTTAAAGTAATATAGTCTATGTCGGAAAATAAAATGTGTTATATCTGTTTCAATTATAATTTTTACACGAGAAAAAAAGTTGCGATTTTGATCATTATTTTTCAAAATTCTAATAATCCAATCTAAATTTATAAGAAAATGTTAAATAAAATAAAAATATTGCTGCTCATGTCGATAAAGTTCTTCTACGTGCACTTCTATGTGTATATTATATATATTAAAAAATGTACGTATATTAACAAAAAAATATTAAAAATACTAATTTATTTTGTAAACTCACGGTTTAAACAATATTACAAACGGTAATATAACGTAATCATTGTATCAATTAATAGTATTTTTACAAGCTTTTATTTAGTTACACCTGTCCGGGTCTGTGTAATGGAATTTTGCAAGTTAAATTTGACCCACTTCCCAGAGTCTGATTTATCTGAAATTTAGCACACCAGTTTGGTTCCAGATATATTCCACGATTACTAAATGGCGCCATTTTAATCCAATATGGTGGAAGTTACAAAATGGCGACTTATCATTTCCATATGATATGGGCATCAAATAAAATGGATGAGCGAAACCCAATAAGCAACGTGACGTCATTGTGAATCCAATATGGCCGCCAGAAAATGGTGATTTATAATTTCCACACTAACACATATAATATGGTTATCAAATGAAAGGGCCTGATAAGCGAATTATAATGATAAAGTGACGTCATTGTAAATCCAATATGGCTGACGTTGAAAATGGTGATTTTTCATTACAAATTTTTATTTAGTTTTACCTAATCCCGTGTCTGTAATCAAATCTTGCAAGTTAAATTTGACTAATTGTCATTCTAAATCTAATATGGCGGAATCTCAAAGATGTTTTTTATGCACCCCCAAGATATGGATATCAAATAACAGGGTTTGCTGAGAAGAATATGAATAAAATGAAAACAAAAAAATAAATTAATAATAAAAAACATTTTTAAAAAGAAGCTTTTATTTAAATTCTCTAAAAAGGAGAAAATAAAATTTAAATTAAATCAAACCCAACAATTTACTATATTACACAATTTATATAATCAAAATAAAGCTTGTCACGAGATTTACCTGTGAAGATAAACAAGAATTTATTTAAAATAGATTTTCTTCTTTTTAGATCATTTAAATAATATTTAGCTTGTTTTTAAAAATGTTTTTTTACTATAAATTTATTTACTCCATTAGTCTTTTTGAATAACGCAAGTAGATACTTGTAGTACTATTTTTGTTCTATTCAATAGGTATTTTATTAAAAGATCAAGGATAGAATTTTATTGAATGTTCATAAATAGTTAGAGGAAGTTAAACTGTACACTTAAGTATATTACCTATATTATATTATTTATTATTATACATATTTTTATGTGCGTTTCCATTTCCAAAATGGCAATTGATACCGATGTCGACAATTTTGCCAACATCGATTACTATGAGAAAGCATTTGCTTGAAGAATAAAAAGAATAAGAATGAAAAAGCTTCTATCTGTTAGTGAAATTCAAATTGGGAAAGGACGGATTCCGATGAAATTTTACACAGATAGACTATGTATGAAGTATATATACGCTCCATATACGCCTATGTATGTGAGAGTAACAAAATTCACCAAAAGGTAGCGCTGCCTATATACGAGATTAATAATATAAATACAAAAGCCACCTAGGGACGCACTCAAGCGAGACTTAGAGTATGTTGCTAGTATTAAATAAATTATAAAACTTTAACCATCTCATTTATCATATTTAACTACTACTATAAGTATTAAGTTATGATACAAATATTACTCACTACAGGGCGGGTGCCCTGTGTCGCTTAGGGTTTTCCTGTGTTTCTCGTATCCTTCAGTACTTTCGGAAATCTATGATCTCACACAAAAACCACTGGATGTATAAGGATAAAGAGAAATATATAGCATTATAAGGCCAACAATCTACTTTTATACAAAAAATTAAGACTACTGACTGCTTTATTATAACATAAAATAAAATTAAACCAAAAAAACTGCATTCTCATTTTTAAAATTAGTAATGAAGTAAGAATTCTAATTTAATTAGTGGTGCCCCTAGGTGCCTTTTGCAACTTTATCCAAAAACATCATTTTTTTTACGATTATCGAACCCACGATAGTAAACATAAACGTTCTTGGCAACAAGTGTCAAAGGCTGGTCAAGAATATACTATGACTAATATAACTAAAATCAACTAAGGACTCATCATTTTTACCCTTTATTTTTTTAGTTACTATTGAGATCATTTCAAACATTCCTACAATTAAAAAATATAAAGTTTTTAATTGTTTTATACGATTGAAGGCAGTGGTAGCCCAGTAATGACGCACTCGCTTGGGAAAACGAGTGTAGCGGGTTCAAATCCCGGGTTTCGCACCTCTGATATTTTCATGTGAGAATCATTTCCAACATGATTGCCACTTGTCTTAACGGTGAAGGAAAACATTGTGAGGAAATCTGCATGTCTGAGAGAACCTAGCAAATTTTCAAAAGACATGTGAAGTTCACCAACCCGCACTTGGCCAGCGTGGTGGACTTTGGCCTGATTCCCTTCGTACTGAAGGGAGGCCCAAGCCCAGCAGTGGGACTTTAAAAAGGACTGTATACACATACAATTGCCACAAAATTACAATATATTATGTTTTAATCAAACCATAGTACGAAACCTAAACACGATCAATTGAATGGCAATCAATCATTACTACACTAACTAACGAGATATTGTTTACGATTGCAAAAAGCAGAACACTGCACAAGCTGTGCGACAACCGCATTAATAATTTATCAGGCTCATGACGTCTGCTTGCTAATAAAGCGTAAATTTGCGATGGAAATATTAATAAAAGCAGCCTGCACCCGGAAGTCGGAACTCGCTTCGGAACCGCGCCGGCATCCGCCTATGACAAATGACCAGTTGCAACTTTCATTTAGTTAAAATTCAAACAAACTAAATAACTAACACTAAATATTTAGGTTCTGATATTAATAGCTGAGATATTTTTTTCCTTTTACTTTATTCTTACTAATTATAATGTAATGCTAATTATTACAAGAAGCAAATTTTTTGTGCTGTAAATTAAATTTAAATTTTTATGTGAAAGTTTTCTTTTAGAATTATTAAGCAAAATCTACCTTTTTAGAATTTGCAATTCCTTCTTCTATGATAGTATATTTTAATTAATAGTCTTATAATATAGTGGCTCGCATATACAGCTGTAGGTGATGAATTCTTGGCTTCGAATCCTGGGATGGGTCAAAACTTGTAAACTTGTGGGTTGGAATTTTCATTTAAAAAATTCTTAATAACACCAGGAGTTGAGAAGTTCCCCCCCAACGTGCGTTCACCTTGTCGTGGTGGGGGGGCTCAGTAGTGCCCGGCAACCCAACCGGGCGCGAAGCCAAGAAACGCACAGGGAGGTGGCCCACTTCGGTGGGCGGTGGGAGGTGGCCCTCTTCGGAGGGCGGTGTACCATGCGGGTTGCTCCTGGTACTTCTCTGATAGCAGAGTGGACCTTGGAGCAACCCCGTGGTTGTGGTGGTCTGCTTTGGCAGACCTGCCGTCGGGGCGTCGTAGTTGAATGCGTAAGCGATCCTGCGACGCCCCATTAAGACGGGGGAAGGCTTTGTTGGGTTTTAGTGGGTAGTACTGGCTTTGCCGGTGAGTCCCACACCTCGTGCGTAAATGCATTTCCCAACGTTAAAAAAAAAAAAAAAGGAGTTGAGAAGTTGGCGGTGTTTCACTTCCTGTGCCTATTCGGTATCCGGTTATCTCAGACCGTTGTACTATTGAACTTTATATTATCTATACATACTCGTATAATAAAATTCTAACTAAGCCGAATCTGTACATTAAATATTTTTTGGAAAATCTTATTGAAATAAACATTATTATCGATACAAAGACCGAATCTATAGTTTTTAGAATTTTTGTCTGTCTGTCTATAATAAAACTTAAAAATCTTTTCGAATTTTTTCGCATAATAATTTTGCTTTTTGGTTCCCGACGTTTCAGATGCTTTACAGCAATTTTAGTCACGGGAGAGACTAAGATGTTAGATGTCTCAAAGGTATAGTTGTTACAGACAGCCTACCCACAAATAACAAAATGAATTCAAAAAATTGAAAAATGGCACTAAAGTACCTTGCAATATTTTTTAACTTTGAACATTTTAAAAAAATTAATTAGTTTTATAATTGAATATGGAATTTATTTCATTTTAGCTGTTATTATTATAAATAATACAATAAAAAAAATATTTATTGGTAATCTATATTTAGTGTCACTACCGTTGAGAACCAAAAATCAAAATAAATACGTGAAAAAAATCCGAAAAGATAGTTTAATTTAATAATGTCAAATATTCGCGTAAATCTAAGAAAGTATTATCTTTTGTGTATTTTTGAATATGACAATACTCTTGTAATAATTTTTGATTTCAATCAAATATCAGTAGCATATTGACTAAAAGTTTATTGAAATTCATATTATTTTTAATGTAGAATTCTTCGGCTAAGAAATACACATTTGGCCTTCGACGACACACAGTTTGTAGTAACCCTGCTTGCTATGCCAGCGGTCGCGGGTTCGAGTCCCGCTGGGGCCATTCATTTGTGTGATGAGCACGAATATTTGATATCCATAACACAGACCTTCTAGCTTACCATGGAACTAGATGGTGGTGTGTGTTAATGTCCCAACATATTAATATTATTATTTATTTACACATAAAATTATAGCTTAGCCCTTGAGATCAATTATTCGCCGGGTATAAACTTATTTGTGTTAGTACGTAGTTGCGTTCTAACTTGAACATTGAGTTGACTTTGTTGCAAGGTCTTTGAGTGAAACTACAACTGTAGCGGACAGAATGAAGCGTGCAACGATAAGCTAGTAACTTTGCTGTGACTTCAAAGATAAGACCAAGTGCACAAACCGCAAACTCGCGACTCCTTTCCTGTTTCATCAGTTCTAAGACTCCAAGCGAACCGTTGTTTGGCTAACTGATTTAGTGTTGTTTTACATTTGACTTTGTTGTAAATATTGTGAATTTATTTTGTGGTATTAGTTTATTTTGGTGGTCATATTTGATTGTAACAGTTTTAGTGTATTAGGAGCGAATTCAGCTATAATTCGAATTATAAAGATTTTTAACAGGTGCAGTATTTCAATCGATATATTTAACACTTCATCTTCGTCTTTAGAAAAAAATTGTAACTGCCTTTACTAATGCTAATTAATCAATAATAACACACATTAATTGTTTATTTATCTGTTACGTTCAATGGACCACTAACCAACCACTGACCAACCTATATATTTTATCTGTATAAGTAGCTCACAAATATATATAATTATAAAATTGCTGGTAGACTTTAAAAAAAAACAAAATAAAAAAAAAACCTAGTGCTTGACTCGTGATGTGTTGTGACTGTAGATCCAAGTGATAATATCATTGATTGTGGTAGTCACGGTTTGACAAATGCCCGTGCCCAGCAGTGGGACGTTAAAAAGGGCTGAATACATACTTCCTTATAAAATAAAATTCGTGTCGTTCGCTTTTTGATTCCCATGGCTTATCTAGCCATAGGAATCAAAAAGTGAACTAAAGAAAATAATATCTTATATCTTAAGAACTTTTATCAACCCGGTTAAGAAAACACTATCAATATTTTAATATTTTTAATTAGCATTGTTTTTGTAATTACAACACAACTGATTATTGTTAACAGGGGCTCTTGAAGTACCAGAATTCGGTGAGCCCATCACCAATCTGACGGTTCCCATCGGCCGAGACGCGACCTTCAAGTGTATAGTCGGCAATTTGGGGAATTACCGAGTGAGTATTAAATTTTATTATTTTACTTAATACAAACTAAGACTCTACCATAGCTCTAGTATTTTTAAAAACTAATTTTACCTTATCTACCTATATAATTTATCAAAAATATTATAATTATCACTTAACTAAATTCTATTATAGGTATATAATAAACATATTATACGTCAGATCGCTATATTTGTGAGCAAAATAAGCAAATTGTTAAATTCAAACTAAATATACTCAATTACTAATATATACATGTAGGTATGCATGTATGTATGTACATAATATTTACTTTGAAATACTTCGAAAGTACATTTGAAACTAGTTTTTGTCCACGGTTCCACTCGTGTGCTACAAAGATAAAAATAATTGTTTATATCACTCTCACATGAATTCTATAACCACTAGTGGAAACGCCGCTAAAGTCTTAAGGCTCTATTTCGAGGCTTTATTTTTTTTTTAAGATAAAAATTTTATGGTAATTATGGTAAGAGTACTGCTTAAATCTAATCAGCATTCTTTACCTTGCTTCTAAGTCTATATTAATTTACATAACATAGAATAATATTAACTTAAAAATAAGTACTGTAAAATATTAGGTTACTAATGATTCGGTCGCTCGAGTGTATTCTAGATGCCTTTTGCATTTATGATATTACGATTCGCAATCGCTTCTCTTGACGACTTGGGTACAAAATTTTGACTTATCTTAATTTTATATAAATATAGGTATCTGTTTGTATAAAAAATCCTTACGAAATTTACTGAATTATAGCGAAAACCTTAATAAAATTTACTGCATAGATTACTCGTAGAAGAACCACGCTCAAACAGCCAGACAAAAATAACGAATTTATTTTATACTATCTAATATCTAACATCATTACGTTAAAATATACATATGTAAATATTAAATTAAAATATTATAATGCTTGCTATAAACTATGCCTTCATTAACACTTTTACTACCCCGATTTCGTAAATAGAAATTAAATATAGTAACCCGTGATTTCATATGGAACGCCACAATATGATGAATAATTTCAGCAATGTTATACCTAATGAGAATAGAAATATTAACATCTTAATGCACGAGATAAATCACAAATCTGTTGACAATTTGACAGTTTATTAGTGTTTGCACAAAGCTTCTACTATCTTATCTCTTAGACCATAAATTGTATACTAATCATGTATGTTAACTAATATGCTGAAACATATCAATAGATGCAGCCAAATAAATCTATACATATAACAAAATTGTAACTAAGCCGAATCTGTACATTAAATATTTTTTGGAAAATCTTATTAAAATAAACATTATTATCGATACAGAGGCCGAATTTATAGTTTTTAGAATTTTTGTCTGTCTGTATGTCTGTCTGTGACCGTATCACAGAAAAAGCACTGGAGGGATTTCAACATATAGGATACTCAACTAAGAATTAGGTGTTTGGTCATCTGTACGCGGGCAATGCTAGTTATCTGTAAAGATATTGCTTCGACAATCTAATGATTTTGTTATATTATATTGTCACTTTAAATAAGTTATTATTAGAGAATAATTATTATAAAATAAATATATTATACGAATAATAAACTAAACATAAACCTAGCGAGACAAACTCAAAGAAACTATTCACCATTTTTGGCTTGTTTGTATAAAGGCATGCGTTATATTGAAATAGCCTGTAGACGAAAAAATAATTTCCGAAGTATCTTTTCCTTCTCTCTTCTGAGATCCCTAGTTTGTATAAACTTTTCTTCATTTTTCTTAATTACTTTAAATGTTAGCGACATTTTAAAATATAATTAAAAAATGTGTTATTTATTTCCCATCAGTTTGGGGTCACATCTATAGAAATTGATATTATAAAATACATATAAGTCTGCATCGCCTTTTTTGAACGAAGTTCTTATGACTGCTCAAAAATATTTTTTCCCTTTTCGTGCAATTAAAATGGTTTATAATCTATGACACCCTTTAAATTTAAAGTAAATGCGTTTGAATTCAAAGATAACTGAGAGCTAATCTAAAATCCACATTGTATTTGTGTACATGTATGAATTCAGCTATTTTTCATGTCCCATTGCCGGGCACGGATCACAAAGGAGATTAGGCCATAGTCCACCAAACTGACCAAGTACGGGTTGGTCTAGTAGACTTACGTCTTTCGAAAAATTGCTTGGTTCTCTCAGACATGCAGGTTTATTCTCAATATTTGCTTCACCGAAAGACCAAATCAACATATAATTACATATTTTAAGAGCTACTTGTACTACCGTATTCATATTTCTTTATAAAATAATATGTAGTTTTAACCTATCAAAATAGTACCAAATTATACTTCTTTTTATAAACTTAAAAACTATCCTAACTATAACATACAGAATAACAAAGCTTTTTAAAGAGTGCGATGTGAAAAAGCTGTTCGTTCTTTTTTTTAATGGAGCTATGAAAATAACACTTACTTTTGATTAAAGTGAAATTGTCTCCCACAAATGTCCACGAAGCAGCTTCATTAAAATATATCATTTTTGTTTAACAAGTTGTTATAATGAAACAATATATTTGATAAAATATTCATATTTCATAATACAAAAAAATAATTAATATCTACTTTTTCGATTTAAATTAAAGCGACGTAGGTTTCAGCGTTTTTTCAAATTCTATTCCTATTCTATAAAAAAAACCCAAAACTAATCCAATATGAAAATCGAAAGCGGGTTGCGTTCGAAAAATCGATCTGGCGCTGCAGACTAATATACCTGAACTTTAAATACGAATGTTGCAATACAATTTTGTTTGAAATCCTCGACAAAAAATAGAATATATATTTGACTGGGGTAAGTCCTCAACGGATGAGCCGATTTCCGTGCAATTTTTTTATCCAAAATTACTGGGATACCTGATATCTATCCTAATCTAAACTATAAAAAAATTCTAACTATAAAAATATTACCCAAAATTTCTCAATGAAGGTGAGAATTTCATGTTTACATAACATAATAGAATACGTTATTTCATTCGTTCTATCCACTTATTTTGGTATTTTTTGTAAACCCAAAGGGCTGAAACATTAAATTCTGCAAAAAATATTTACGATCTAGAAGTTTGATTGAAATTTTTATTGTTACTTCTGTTCGAAAATAATTTGGTATCCCATGAAACGTTATTTGGTAAATGAAATCTTATAATTTAATGTTAATATTTAGGTGGGCTGGGTGAAGGCTGACACAAAAGCTATACAAGCAATTCATGAACACGTGATCACGCACAACCACCGAGTGTCAGTGTCTCACGCCGACCACTCAACGTGGTATTTGCATATAAAGAACGTGCAGGAAGAGGACCGCGGACAGTATATATGCCAAATTAACACCGACCCTATGAAAAGCCAAGTAAGTATTATAATAAAAATCACCAATGTATACTTTAAGCTTATAATAATTATTAATTCCCATATAAGAATTACACCATACTACATATATTACTACTTTACTAAAATTACATAACACTGTTACAGCATAAGTTCACCGTAACTCTTCCTGAACTAAAATAAATCCCATGTAACTTTGACTACTTCCGGCGTAATCTCTAAGCCATAATAATCCATTTATGTATTTAATTTATAAAATATATTACAGTAAATATACCTTCATATCTTTATGAACGTCCCACTGCTGGGCACATGCCTCCTTCGTATTGAAAATTGTGATGAGGATCAGGCCATCCACAACGTTGGCCAACTGGCGGACTTTACATGACTATCGAAAACTTAGGTTTAGTTAGATTTAGAGACTTAGGTTCAGAGATATGCAGGTGTTTCTCACTATTTTTTCCTTCACCATTACGTTATTCAAACGTAATTATATTTATTCTAAACGAGTTTGTATAGCGGCTGCTTTCCCAGTTACGATGCAAATGGCCTATGTTCTAAATCCTCAAAAAAAAACTTTATCTACTTTACTCTTTATCATTTATTGACATTCGGGTATTCTCTTTCTTTCTCTTTTCCAGGATAAAACGTATGTTAAGACTAATATTTTTTTACATAATAATGTAATTATTGATTTGGCGAGTACTAGTGCGAGGCTGTATTTATATTACCTATCTATAGATCACAAAAATTTAGAATTAAAAAGGTTGGAATAGCTAACCATAATCGATTATAGATATAATTAGTTTTGTTTTTTAATTATTTTTTTTAATTTTAGATTCTAATTAGTAATCTAGAACAATGAGATTCCTGTAAAAAATAAAATAAGCTCAAAGTAATAAATAAATATATTACAAGCACTTAAACAATATGGAAAAATGATAAAATATGAATATGCAAAATAAATGTCGTCCATAAAAATTAACCACAAATTGCCCATTTACCTACATACGTACATCACAGTTAAAGTATATTAATTTCAAAAATTATACACTTAATGAACCTATAATAAAGTTACCATTCAAAAGCGTCGTAAAGCAAATTACCTCTTCTGCCTATTTAACGTTCGACGCCCCGCTTCAATATATCGTGCTCAGAGCTGAAAAGGTTTCAATTAATTTAAAATCTGATTATTGAACCTTTGAAAAACTATACGAAATATATATATATATATATATATATATATATATATATATATATATATATATATATATATATATGAAAACTGGCGGCAATTTACACCACAATGGTTACTCAGTATAAATTAAAAAACTTAACAAATAAATTGAATAAAATATTAAATTCGATTCTTGTTGTATGATTGAATGTTAACTTTAACTCATACAAAGTAAAAAACTAAAAAGAGAAAGAAAGGGTTGTGTATAGATTTTAGTTTTTTATCACACCTTATAGGTTTACTTGTTAGTTGAAAGATACAGTAATATATGACACTAATATATGAGACTTCTTACATTATATTTAAAAAGCAGCGATTCTAATGAGATTTTCTATCGGCAACAAAACAGAAGCTCATCAACAGAAGAATATTAATTTCTATATTTTTAACTTCAAAATTAACTGTCATACAAACAACATGGTATTGTCATTTTAAACTATTTCTACATTAAACAAATAAATTTAATTTGTATTTAAGAATATTTCTTCTTAGAGATACGTCCTTTCCAATAAAAAAATCTTTAATCTCCGCTTAATAAAAATAGGTTATTTCATGAGTTTCTAAAATTGCTTTAAGGAAATGATTATATGATAGTGTATACTGTATAGTATATAGTATAGAAGTTACTTTTTGAATAAATAGTAGTTTTAGATTGTATACTCTTAGTAAAGATATCATATTTTTCTCTAGATGGGATATTTGGAAGTAGTTATACCGCCGGATTTCGTTCCTGAGGAGACTTCAGGGGATACTATGGTACCGGAAGGAGGGACGGCGCGAGTGTCGTGCCGAGCGAGGGGTATCCCCCCACCAAGAGTCATGTGGAAACGGGAAGATGGACAGGAAATAGTTGTTAGGGACAATATGGGTTCCAAAACTAAAGGTAAATATGTCCTCTACATATCTAAATAATTATAATAATTCAATAACCGTAGTTGAAATAATAGCTACTATTAGGTATGTTATTTTAATATACAATGTAATAATATTATTTAAATTTCTTATCAAAGAGAATGTATTGAAGCTGTGAACCAATACTTGCATTATTATATGTATGTAGCTGTTTAACCTTTCAAAGCGGTATTCAATCAGTATTTTTATTGCTTTTAGGCTTCTTAAATGTGAAATAGAGTAATAGAGCTCTATCCTCAAATATTAAAATGATTTTGTCGACTATTATATAGCTACGTCCTGGAATATACTGTCAGAAAATTACATAGAAGCCTCGCATGGCGTAACCTAAAGATAAAATCGAAATAGCACACAGCTCTCTATTACGTATGATTGAAAGCGCGTGACTGAAGCTTTACAACTATAATAATAAATGTAATTAGGTATAACTCAATAATTTTCTGTGAATTTCATTTTGCAGCGTTGATATGTACACTTTTGTGTGTATTTAATAGCCTGCCCATATTAGAACAAACATGCATATCATTATATTGGCAGTTATTATAATTTGCTATGTTTAGCAAACCAAATATAACTACTATTTCACGTGGAAATACCTGCAAATGAGAAATAAATAGCTGTATTATTTTATTAGCCACTCTAACCGAGACTCAGTCAATGATTGTAAAACAAATAAACATTGCATAAAATATTATTAAAACAGTGATAATAAAACCAATATTATGTAATCGAGCCACTACTGAAAATTCTTTACATTAAATGAAATTATTTCAGCGTGAACAAACATTACAATATAAACCTTTGTAATTGTGAAAGTTTAACAAATTATAATCTATCATTGAACGCTCTCTCATAATTTTCTCTCTACTAATTATATTGTATTTTCTACCTATTTTTGTTGCTTTAAAAAAACTCTTACCTTTTCTTATTTACAATATCAAACTAACACATTTAATACTATAAAATGAAATAAAACAGTATTATGTATATAATAACCATAATAATAAAACAGGTATTACTAGCGTAATATTTATCAAAGTACAACTTTTGTCATTTTAATAAATCATCTGTTGGCTGGTAATTGGAAAATGCAGCACAACATGGTGACCTCAAATTACAGCAAACTCGGCGGGCTGCAGGAAAAATATTTCATTTGTCTTAGTTTATCTGAATAGCGCAAGGACGGCATTGTTTTTCTGAATATGTATAATAATACGAACGTCTGTGTGACCGCATTTGTGGCGCTACAATGAGCTCCGCGGCGACTATTCCCGGGATGAGTTTCGCGTCCAGTATTGTTTAAAGTTTGTCGTAATTAGTAGAGTTCCACTCTGAATAGACTCCTAGGTCCATTGTAGGAATGTTAAAATTCTTTACGTGGATTAGTAGAAATTCTTATCTTTTGAGGCAAACTTATTCGGTGCTTTATAAATATTTCTTGTTTTTGTTTATGTCTAATCGATTATTTTCACTCGTGCTAGCATCAATTATTTGATAATGATATAATATTACTTTCAAAGTGGAAATGAGATGGAAAAAACCACTCTAGTTTTAAATATTCAATGGTTTTTTCTTAATAATACCAAATACCTTATAAAATTAAAATCAAATAAAGTCATTCTAATATTAAATTGATACTAAAGATCTGAAAATATACAGTATATATGTTTACAGTAATAGCATACCAAGGCGAAGTATTAAAGTTGACAAAGATATCGCGTTCCGAAATGGGAACGTACTTATGTATAGCAAGTAATGGAGTGCCGCCCTCGGTGAGCAAGAGGATTCATGTAAGCGTACATTGTAAGTTGATATTTTATTATTTTATATGAAATAAAAGAATCATATGGGACAAATAATTTTGAATACCCATATCATAGAGAAAATATTGGTTGATGGTAAATAAGATGTATATAAAATACCGTTTCCTATTGCTCGAAATCGCAGGTTTAATTCTTGCTCATAACCAATTTTAGTGTACAGATGATTTTGTTTGTTATTTAAATAAAACAAATTATTAAAGGTGATTATCGCGTTGTGTCTCTTTACTTTAAAACTGAAGAATATAACGACGAAAGACAGAAGACGAGAGAAATTATATTGGTCTCAAAAATTACGCTGCGGCGTTTGGCTGTAAATTTGAAAAGTATCTTATTAGATGTTTGTTTAATATAAAATTTTCTTTATCCATTTTGATATTGTTTTCTCGGAAGATATTTAAAACTTTTGAGTATGGGTTATTAAGTAAATTAATGCTCACTCCATCAAGATACTATGTATGTACATCGAGTTTAATTACTCGAAACCTAATAAAATTACATGACATACCTATACCACTAAATTGACTTTTATCTTTTAATCGATCGATCGAATTAATCGAATCTTTTAACGACATAATATAAAACTCATTATGTGCTTTGCCACATCTCTAGTATAATTTGATTGCAATATATTTATTACCGTTTAGTCTGTACACGAAACAAATTTAACCGGTCATTTCGAAGTCCAATATTTATAAGCATTGTGATACGATTTAGTGTTAATCACACTGAAGTAAACGAAAATGGAATAAATAACTTATATAATTAGTCAATTAATGTGAATGAGAATCGTAATTCAACAAGGCCAAAATCAAATACAAAATTACACTGCATGAAGCAAAATGCTCATTAAATTGCAAATTAAAAAGAGGGTAGTTAGTAGTAATAGTATTAAACTAGTAGGTAATTATTTATTCATTTTATAAAAATTGAAACCATACATATTGTTTTCTTATATTGGACTTATAATATTTATAAAATAAGATATGTTCAATTATATTGTAATCCTGTACAGTTCATCCTGTTATCCAAGTGCCAAATCAGCTCGTGGGTGCACCATTGGGCACAGATGTCACGCTCGAATGCTACGTTGAATCGTCCCCAAAATCTATTAATTATTGGGTTAAAGATCCCGGTAAGTTAAATTTATAAAAACAGATTTAAATTGTAAAAGACTTGTAATGAAGTAAAATGAATAATTACAATTTAATAAATTCGTAAAAATGAAAATTGTACACAGCTGCTAATAGGATTACGATTAACTTTGTAAAGCATCACGAATATAAAAGAAACAAATTATAAAGCGAATATAAAACTCTAGGTGTCTGTCCGAAGTTTTTACATTTTTCATAAAACTTGGCGTGCGAAAGATGAAATTCTAATATTAGATTTGGAAGCGAATGTTTTAAGTAATAAATTGTAACACAGGTGAGCTGATAATACCTTCTGAGCATCACGAGATGACTGTTCGACAAAAGTCTATGTTTGAAGCAGAAATGTCAATGACGATTAAGAACATACGGAGAGAAGACCTCGGTAGCTATATATGCGTCGCCAAAAACTCCCTCGGTGACGTAGAAAGCAAAATCAGATTATACGGTAAAAATGCAAAAAAATCTATTTATCACAATTACTTACGAATAGCATACAAACTTTCATCCCCATTTTTACCCCATTAAGGGATGACTTCTAGATTACTATGTATTTTCCGGAGTCTCAAAGTACCTTCTTACCAAATTTCATCTAAATCGGTCCAGTAGTTTTTGAGTTTATTCGTTACAAACATACAAAAATACAAATCTCTCCTCTTTATAATAGTATATAAGTGTAAATTACAAACAATAGAGTTTTGGACCAATAAATACATAAATAGAATTTTTAATTTACATTTACATATATAATATGTTACAAATATATAATAACCCTGTAACTCCTACTTGTACTCAGGACAAGTAAATTAAAACAAATAAAATAAAAACTATATCAATTTTTATTTTATACTATCACAGTTTTAGTTGTTTAATAAATAAGTTAAAAAGTAGTATAAAAAAAATTCACATATTAATATTATCTCATAGAAATACCAGGCAACGACAGGCATATTTATCAATACCCGGACGAGCGGACTACATCTGATGACGAATATGGCACTGAAGTTTACGACGACGATTTCGATGATAAAGACCCTGAAAAGAATAACAGAGTTCCAGATCGAGCGAATAAATGGTACTCAAATGATGGTAAAGTAATAATAATGGCTAACAATGCGTGTATCGCAACCGCTACGGTTATTGTTGTATCAATACTTAGTTTATTAGATATATTAACTTAAAATTATTCTGCTAACAATTTGATTCTAAGCGCGCAAAATGTAAACGTATTTTATATTGTAAAGTAATAAATGTTATAATTCTTTATTTGGAGGTATATATATATATAATATTATAATAGAATTGTAATTATTATCAATTTTAACTAGATACAGAAGAAAACTAAAATAGAAGCAAATAAATTTTGTACATGTTTTTGTTATTTACTAACATTTCCTTTCATCTTGTGTAACAATTAATATAAATAAATTCGCCATGTATTTAAATTAAAAAAAAAACAAGTTTCTCTATAAAAGTGTTAGAAGTGAAACTTCATTGGTTTTTTATATTTCAAATATGTAAGATTAATAAATTAATAAAAACTTTTAATAATACACTCAGACAAAAATATGATAGAAACAAATATCGCAGAAAGAGCAGGATATAATATTTTATCTCTATGTAGCATAATTCTTACATCATAAATCATTACATCACTACACACACATATATATATATATATATATATATATATATATATATATATATATCATTTTTCAGAAAATAACAAAGGTTACTACGGCAACCTAATAACCTAATGCAAGCGGTTACTATAACAACCGTGACGGTTTGTCGTGACGCAACCCTGAAATTTTACTCTTATGCGCGCAATGAAGTTTCACTTCAAAAAAATTCTATTAAAGTATTTCTTTACAATAAAGCAATATATTGTCACTCTTGTAATATTCATAGATGGATCATATTTTTAACAATTTTGTGTCATTATTTTATTGAAAAACAAAGCCTCGTACAGCGCGTAACGTGATAATAACTAGCGTTAAATTGTATATAGTTATATAAGTTAATATAGAAAATATAATCGAATTAAATTTTCATGTACTTCCTATTTCAAAGTTACTTATTGAGATGGAAATAATTAATGTTTACAATGATTGAATAAACTGCTGATATTATATAATAGACATATTTATTACAGTTATTTATAATTATGCACATATTTACTGTCTTTTATATATATATTTTTTGTAGCTTTTTACTTTTATTCATTTTAACCACTAAAAGTAAATAGTTTGAACATTTAATTTACCCTACTCTTTAAATAAAATGAAAAGAAAAATTATAAAATTAGCGCGTATTGTAAAGTTTATACTGGAAATATGTATAATGTTCCATTGTAAATAATGTGCAGTATTAATAAGTACATGTATATGTACATGAAGTATGATAAATTATTTTGACCTATACATACAGGGTCATTTTTAATTTACTGAAAACCTTTTTGGGAATATACTGTTTACATCATAACAACAACATCTGTAAGAAAAAAATAATATTTCTTAAATTTTACAAAAATAAAAATATTTTTATTGCTCCTTCTAAACGGTAATAGTCCAGCAATTAGCAAAAGAAAGCGCGTGACCGGTGGAGGGGGAGGGGTGGAGGGAAGAGGGGTGTAGGGGGGAGGGGGAGGGGGTGGAGGGGGGAGGGGGAGGGGGAGGGGTGGAGGGGAGTAGGAAGTGGCCCTTACTCATTTAAACTAGGCCAGATGCTAGAACTTTGCCGTTCAGAAGGTGCAATAAAAATATTTTTATTTTTGTATGAAAATAAAAAATTTAGAAATATAATTTTTTCTTGTTACAGATGTTGTTGTTATGATGTAAATAAGTATATTCCCAGAAGGTTTTCAGTAAATAAAAATGACCCTATAGGTACAGCGATTATTACGTTGTTACCTGTACTTACTTTCTGGTGCAACTTGAATGTAAAATTATCGTAAAATTCATAAACATTCACATTTCTGAACTTCCATTGCCTATTTTATCTGAACATAAAGTTGTACTTGAATTTGTTTTTGTGCTTTTCTAACAAATGTAACTTGCGTAGATAAATGTAATATAACTTCTGTAAATTATATGTTAATATCCTGGTCGTTACAAAAAATAAAACCAAGAGCATTTATATTTGTTGTTTTTATTTCTCAAAGTTAATCATATCTTAGATAATTTCACAATTAAATTATTATACTTTAAAATTGTGTATACAGTAGATATTAAGTATCCATGTGCAATCACTATACCTTTTGCTCTCATAGTCTGGTGGGCGACAACTCGACAAGGCCGTTTAGAGATAAAGCGCAGTACCAAACGCCTTAATAAATTAATTAATGTGGTATCCGAGGCCCTAGGTAAATCACCGCCCAGTTCCCAACTCCGTGCTACTGAGAACTTCTTGATAGAAATAATTATTTATATATTATAAGAATTACTTACTCAATATAATCTATACTTTGGTCGAGCTGGAAAGCGAACCCAGGACTTTTTGATATGCAGCTGCACATGCTAGCCTAACAACGTAGTGATTTCAAATGTATTGGTTAATTTAATGTATTCAAATATTTATCTTAAACAAAGTCGTTCTAATCGCTCGGAAATATATTTGGACAATATGTCTAAACCTTATAAGTAAAACTAAGAGAAGCCAATATAATGCCTAATGAGATACAATCCTTATCCTTAAGGCGTATTCTTCATAAATCTTTATCATACTTCATACTTGGTTTAATTCTTAGATGAAGATTTTACTGAACTTATTATTTTTTAACCTTGGATTGCATCTACGCATGCTCTTTGAAATGAATGAAATAAAAATAATATATTTATAGAAAATAATATTATTGCAGAAAAGCTCGAAACTATTATTAAAGCTTAATAAATGTTTACTAACAAAAAAGCAGATAGAAAGCTCATTTATTAAAAGCTAATTACCTTATTAACCCTAGAATTAATGGTACAGCATTTTTGTACTCTACGAATATAAATAGGCCGCGTAAAGCTTTCTGTTCTCACATTAAACATTAATTAATTATAATTATTCTGATGGGGTATTCTGTCACAGGATTCATTGATCCAATTACCACTTGCTCGTAAATGCATCGATCGGTGCTATTCGATTTTATAATAATTTAATTAAGCAATGTGATTAATAATAATTAAAGAGCTTTATTTCTCATCTGTTCACATTTATGTGTACATAATATCGTATATGACAACGTTAATACATATTTTTTAAATACAGCTATTATACAACCATTCATTTGAAAATTGTGAAAATATGCTTATTCACGGCCTAAGTGATTTGGTGTAAAATTAGCTGATCGAGAACCGTCAATCACTTTTGTAAACGGGATTCGGTAGACGAGATCGAGATAATAATCTGATAATATTCTATATTAACATGACTACTAAGCCAATTACTAAATTATGATGTAATTTAATTTGTATTCAGGCCTTTTTAACGTCCCACTGGTGGGCACGGGCCTCCCTGCAATGCGAGGGGGATATAGTCCATCACGCTGGCCAAGTGCGGGTTGGCGGACTTCACATGTCTTTCGAAAACTTGCTAAGTTCCCTCAGACATGCAGGTTTCCTCACGATGTTTTCCTTCGCCGTAAGGCAAATAAAGTAAGATATGATTTGCACATGAGAATATCAAAGGTGCAAGGGATTCGAACCCGCTTTACTCGGTTTCCCAAGCGAGCGCGGTACCACTGGGCTACCACTGCCTTTTTAATTTAATTTAGTCCTATATATTTTTTAATATTATATTATTAATTATATAATATAATTTTTTTATATAGGATTACCTATTTGTCTTAAACTATTGCTAGAATCCACTAATTAAGACGTTACAGCTTCAACAACTAACAAACTTTTGTAGTTCATAATCTTAGTGTGATTTTTTAGAGTCATTATTTATTTATTTTATAGAGTGAGTATTTTAAAATCTTTTTTTTTCTAAATATCCTAAGTATTCTTTAACTTATATACAATAACTTTTTTGTCGACGTATCAATAGAATGGAGCATATCTATTCAACTTTCATTTTAACTCGTATCTATTACTTTCATGATTCTTTATTAATGAGTCACGTCAAGGGTTATCCTATATAACCTTTAAGAACAAAATCGATGCGAGTGGTATCCCACCATTGTCCACCACGTTGCCCAGGTACAAGTTGGCCGACTTCATAAGACGTCTTTTGAAATTTACACGATTTACTAGGATAAAGGTAAAATAAAATCTATATATGTTAAGAAACCACTTTAAATGCGAGTGCTTTTTATAATTTTATATTTATTACATAAACACTTTTTAATTAATTTCGCAGAAAAATCAACCCACAAATTTTTATTCTCTGGGCCCATTGATTCGACGAAATTGGTATACATATTCTTTAATTAAAATTATGAGACACGTGTATCACAGCTCATCTCCCAATAGTGTCAAATGGAGCTTCGAAAATCCTACACGGCATGGTAGAAGGGCGCATGGCGCGCAGGGCGGCGCAGGGCGTGCGAGTGAGCGGAAATGTTTCTGTAATAATTACTTATAACATAAAGCCAAAGTTTTTTTTAATATTATCGAGAGCGAAGCTGCGGGTTCTGCTAGTACATAAATATAATGAAAATATTCTACAGACCTATCTGACTCTTAAACTAATTAAAAGAACAGCAAAAGCACCAATAGGCTAAAAAAATCTTAAATAATTTATATTTAATCAAATTATTAAAATATACCTACGTAACATAATCGAAGAAGTATTTCTGTAAAGAACATTGTACCTATGTTGCACCTGGACCTGGACATAAGCTTGGCATTGTGATAAACGTCACTTGTCTTCGACTATGTAACAAGTGATATATTATCCTGTAAATTGATAGCAATACTGCCTTCCTATAGCTCTATATTATGCAACACATACATATATATATATATATACACAAGGTAGTGGTAGCCCAGTGGTAACGCGCTCGCTTGGTAAACCGAGTGAAGCGGGTTCAAATCCCGGGTCTCGCACCTCTGATATTTTCATGTGCGAATCATTTCTAACATGATTACCACTTCCTTACGGTGAAGGAAAACATCGTGAGGAAACCTGCATGTCTGAGAGAACCTAGCAAGTTTTCGAAAGACATGTGAAGTCCACCAACCCGCACTAG